TTTGAAAATCATTATTTCTCAAAAATAATATTTTTGAACAGCGATTTCTAAGAGAATACATGATTAAAAAGTAAGAAAATTTTTGGGTTTAAGTGTGATCATCCCATATGTGTCATCCCGAGGACTATTGCCTGAGGTTCATATTTGTCCACGACTGGATTGCAACCTCCTCGGGTGATACTCCTCAGCCACTTCCTCGAGGATGGGAATTCTCCCGTTGACTTAGGACCTCCTTGAAGTTACGAATTTCCAAGGAAGGAATTTTGTAGTAAGTATGTTATCCCATCCAGAAAGGATCGTACCACTAGAGTCCCATCCATCTTTATCCAAACACATGGGCGATATAAAACCAATTGAATTGCAACTTCCAATCACGTTAGAACTCCTAGGAATTTCAACGTTGTAATCTTACTAGAAATGCACTACCTACCTCTATAAATATATTATTTCAATTCATTATTAAGGTATGTTTAACATAATATTCGCCAAATCTCTTTGACTTAAACATCAGAGGGGCAATGAGGACACACGTCGATACATTTGTTTTAGGTACTCGAAAATCTCATTCGTACTCATTCTTAATCGTGAAGCTCAGAATCAACATATAAGATTTTTGGTAGCATCAAAGTGCATAATATTTTATTGTGTGAATTCGTGATTGAAAATGAGTACGTGAAAAAAGAATTTTCAAATAATGAGTACGTGAAAAAAAATAGTCAAATAATGGTTATTTAAATTGGAGCTAAATTATGCTTAGTAGAGGATGAAACAATTGGGAAGTTAATGGCAGAGAATAAGCACTAACGGGAGGGAATTGCACGGGAGCTTTATTGGAGAAGTGTAATCAAGCGGGAATTATGGAGGGTGATTGTTTGACTAAAACTTAGTTTTGCCATCTCCGCCGCGCTCGTCTTTTCCCGCTGAGCATTCATCCAAGACGTCAGTAGTGCCGGTTTGCTTGTTATCTGGATGGATTTTTTTTTGGGCGTGTTCGTGGTGGCTACTTGGTATGGATCTGGATTCTAGTAGTGCCGGTTTGCTTGTTATCTGGATGGATTTTTTTTTTCCTTGTTCATTTGGATTCTACCACGGATATAACAATCGAAAAAATAAGGTGTGAAAACAAAAAGTTTTTTAGATTGCCTGCGTTGGTGTCGGCGGCTGATTTTCAGGGGTTTGGGTGGGAAAGGAGGTAGGG